TTTGTCCTGGAAAGGGTTAAACCGGGTGGCTCCTTGGAGGCAAGGATTCTGAGGCTCCGTCTAACATACTTTGGACATGTTGTAAGGAGAGACCAGTCCTTTGAGAAGGACATCATGCTTGGGAGGGTGGAGGGATGACACAGGAGGGGAAAGCCCTCTATGAGGTGGATTGATTCAGTGACTGGGATAATTGGGATGTGAGTGTCAGAGACAGTGCAATTGGCACAGGACAGAGCAGAGTTTAGGCCTGTTGTACATAGGGTCGCTATGAGTCACAAGCGACTCGACAGCACATAACAACAACATTTCCCCTAACATGAATTTCCTAACATGGGCTAAGAATTTAACAAATTTTTATTTTAAATTTTCACTTTAAATCTTAGCTCCCAGAAATCTTCAAACTCAACTCAAACTACTGCTATCAAATAGGAACTGAATCATAGCTGACCTTCCAATTGGTTTCTGAGGCTGTAAATCCCACAAGAGAAAATTGCCCATCTTCCTCCCGTCTACTCACTGGTGGATTAGGATTTCCAAGCAGAAACCCTAAATCAAACTTGCTTTCGCATTTTTAATTTAAATATTATATAATATACATTTATTATGTAATACAGAAAAGTATTAATTTTTTAAAATTCTATCTAAATGTATGCAACGACTGTGAGGATCACAACAAGCTGTGGCTAACTCTGAGAAGAATGAGAATCCCAGAACACTTAATTGTGCTTATGTGAAACCTATACTTGGACCAAGAGGCAATCATCAAAGCAGAGCAGGGAGACACTGCATCGTTCAAAATTGGGAAGGAGGTCCACCAAGGATGTTCTGTCTCCATACCTCTTCAATCTGTATGCAGAAGAGATCATCTGGGATGCTGGGCTATATGAGTAGGAATGTGGCATCAGGATTGGTGGAAGAATGATCAACAGCATATGTTAAGCAGATGATACAACCCTGCTTGTTGAAACTGAGGAGGACCTGAAGCGCTTGCTGCAGAAGGTCAAGGACTACAGCCTCCTATATGGATTGAAACTCAACATCAAGAAAACAAAGATTTTCACCACTGGGCCAATTGGCAGCATCAGGATGGATGGTGAAGAGACTAAGATTGTTAACAGTTTTAGTTTACTTGGTTTCACAGTCAACACTTTTGATACCAGCAGCCAGGAACTCAAGAGACGAATTGCATTGGGTAAGCCAGCTGTCAGGGACCTCTCCAGAGTACTGAAGAGCAACGATGTGAGGCTGGAGATTAAGGTGTGCCTGATCTGAGCTATCGTCTTCACAATTATGTGCTATGTATTAGAGAGTT